GCAATGGTGAATTTTGGCAATGCTATGTCTTTGTGGACAGGACTTGAAGACACCCTTGGGCCAGCTGATTCAGAGTGGTTCACGTCTATACCAGATATATGATATATAATATGGATGTTATAGATCTTCTGGAGTGGGGTGACTGTATCTGCTCTGCAAGCACTTGGTCTGAGTCTTCACTCGGCCAAGGCTGACATTCTGTTGCTTTGAGACATTGCCATTTTTTGTTTTGCTTTGCTTTTCTTTCAGAGTGTCCAAAATATCAGGAGAGTTATGTAACAGCCTGAGAAAATGTTTATAGATAGTGATGCTGAGGGTGGGCATTGCATTCAGCAGGGCATGGCTGGGGCTGCCTGAGGCTGCAAGGCTTGCCGAGCATTTGCTGATGAAAGGAGCTAGGCAGCTCATACTAGAGACACTTGGAATAAAACAATATGGGTACAGTCACATAGTCAGGAATGAACTAAGGTGTAAATCAAAGTGGCAGTGTAAGCACATTCTGCAGGTTACTCTCTCCAGAAGCAGGCCCTGTGGTGGACCAGCCGTTGGCTTGCAGAACCTCTGCTGACCTCCCTGTAGGACAATGGGCTGCTTCTTCAAGCCACTACCTCATGAGAACACTGATAATTGAAGCAGAGAGAGGCAGATTTTGAAAGAGTTTCAAAATCAATCCATGTTGACTTTCAACAAGAGAATACTACAGATGAATGTCTGAACAGCAAAAACATTTGCATTTGTGTCTCTGCCACAGTTTTCTCACTGTACTGAAGTATGGTTTAGTTCACCTGAGTCATGCAGGGAATCCAGAATTACCTGCAACCCTTGCATACAACTCTTCTTTACAGCATTGAGTCTCTCTCCTGTTACCTTCCTCTTCAGCTGGCCGTGCAGCTGCACAGTGGACTCCACTGCCCAGGCTTCCTCTTCTGATGTGACTAAACCAAGGCGCAAAGAAAGCCTCTGAGTGTGGGGCTGTTTCTGAACTGATGCTAAGTTTGTTTTGGGGGAAAAAACAAGTTGCATGTTAATTACCCTTTCTGCTCTGCTTTTCATAGAACAGAAAGTTAGCTTGGTTTAGCATGCTGTAGTAGGTGTCCGAGCTGCACGGTCAGGAAACTAAAGCCCCAAGGCAGGCCGTAACACACCTGAAATCAGAGAAGATTTAGCACTTGTGTCGTTAGCTGGCAATAAGCTAGGAAGATATACCTGGTAGAACAGCTGCTCATGGCCATGGACCTCTTCTCTCCAAAGTGTGTTTGCCTATGGCAGTTATGCATGTTTGGGGACAGCAAACATTAAAGCCAGCTGGCCCTGCGATCACTGACTTCTACCTGCTCTGCACGGACAGAAAAGTTTCATCAGCCTTTATCTGCATCCTCAGATAATTTTGTTTTGATCCATGTAATGTTTAACAGAAGCGTAAATGCTTAACACTACTCAGCTGTATGACTAAAAGAGCAGCACAGAACAGCCAACAGCCTGACTGTCCTGGAGCACTCTGAGCATCTCACTCTTTTTTCCTGGAAGACTGCATTTGTGCAATCAAGCATTCTAGCTTATACATTCATTTAATTCAAATGCAGTGGTTTTGTGGCTGGCAAAAGAGAACAGTCTGCTCCATCAAGCCTCACCTGACCTACACAAGCACTCCAGGGGACAGCAGCGACTGGTACTCTAGTAAGAAAAAATACAAATTCAAAACCAAAGTACTTAACAGCAAACTTTGGCTATATCTAAAATGAGCATGCAGAGTTCAGCTGTATTCTGAAAAAAACAAAACAAAACAAAAAACAAACAAACAAAAAAACCCAAAAAACAAAAGAGCTGAGACTGTAGATACTGTGCAGGGAACCTAGCTGCGTGACCAAGGCCATGAGTCCCAGTAGATAAAGAAGTACCTCTGAAAGCAGCACAGCTGGGGACTGGGAACAGCCGTACTTACTCTGTTTTACTTACACAGCTCCTTGGCTCTTCAAGATCCAGGGAATTGTGCTGCCCCTTCCTGAGCAGACGGTAACAAGTCCTGCAAGGTGCAGCAGAGGCATAGAGAGACTGAGCAGGCATTCTCCTGGCTGGCTGATCAAACCATGCATCTAAACAGTTCATCCAGCCATGAATGCTGGTCAGCCAGCTTCACAGCACTTATCTTCCTTTGGAACAATCCCAGGAAATTGAAATACATCTTTACAAGAAGGCTGAGACTTATTGTTTGAGACTGCCTTCATTTGTTACTGGGTTGCTCTCTTCTGTTACTTGCTATTCTTTGAGGCAGTTGGGACTGCACCTTGGTTTACTGTTTATATATGTTACAACAGTTGCATTTGTTCAGTATCGTGTTTGGGCACTTGCATATTTTATACAGCTTTTTCAAGTGCTAAAGTCTACACTAAGTACTTTTCAGATCTTGATATATTACGTGGTCCTTATCAGAGATACAGAGAGATTTATTAGGTTGTGAGGAGACACTGTGTCTGAAAGATTACAAGATTACCATTCAATATACAGCTAAAATTCACCATTCTTACATGAATGAATGAGGTACCCTCTTTATTAATGAGGCCAAGAGGACTCATTGGCTTCTGAATAGTGACCAGTGGGGTCTCTACTGCGTAGAAATAAAAATATGAGATGTTGACACTTAAGTGGAGTCCAGTAGGCTGGGTAGCATGGCTGAGCACAAGTGGTGCTCCCTGCAGCTCCCTCGCCCTGACCCTGGCCTTCAGAGCTTAGTGCTGGGTAAAACTGTGTGTCTCCAGAAGAACAGTTATCTCCATCTCGGGTAGCATATAGGGCAAAGTTGCTGCCCTTGGCACAAAAACCTCACTTCCAATGATTATTTGTTTAGGACTTGCATACCCTTTGGGATTTAACACTCCACTCTACTGACCAGGTGGCCCCCATGGTCTTTGCTCTCTGTTTGGATTAGAGATATGTGGACACATGCATACAACGTCCAAGAAAACTAGCTTCATCAGCATTCAGCTTTGTCCTTCTAGGTAATATGTATTTGAAGCCATGTAATGTTTAACAGAGGGAAACATCAGTATGAGTAGAACAGCAAGAAACAGCACAACCTATACAAGAGGAAGACCCTTCTGAATGTAATGTAAGTACCCAGTTATCTTTACCTTAACAATTTTGATGCAGCTGTATGGCATTTAGCTAGTGAGTCATGAAGCACAACTGCTTTCAAGGGTGAAACGTGGTTTCTAAGCATTCAAATGACAGCAGAACTTAATTTCAAGAAATACTGAATAGCAAATTGTGGGGATACACTATAGCAGCTCCACAGAGTATAACTCTGCTCTGAATATTTATCCCAAATAGCTCCTTCACATTTAGACGAAGTCTGTTTCATTAACAAGGGGGAAGTATTCTGACTTCCCAACTGTCAGTCTTATTTCATATCATTACTAATGTTCCCTAAAGCTTACAGACAGATAATCTAAACTGAGGTGAATGAGCTGGCTTATTTACACCAACACGGTCCAGACAGGATTCACAAATTGATTTTGCTATGCCAGCCTACCCTCTTAGTCCCGATTTACTCAGATCTCACAAAGCAAAGCTGCGGAAGGACAAGCTGGCTCCTTTTCACCCAAATCTTAGTGGTCAGAGTGCTTACACAGGGTGGGGGAAATACTAATAAGCATCTCATCTGCTTTGCTGAACCTGTGTCTCTGAGTTGACTGGGGGGTGAGCAGGTAACTCATGTGATCTCCTTCCCCGAAGATGTTCTGCTTCAAGTAGGACATTGGGTGAAGGCTATTTGGAGTTGCTTTTCTCATCATTAGTACAATTTTCAATTGGAATAGCTCTTGCCTGTTTTCTGACAGGTTAAACATCCTAGACACTACAAATCATCCCAACATGTTCTTGGTTTAACCTGTAACAGAGAAAGCTATAAACAAACAAACAAACAAAAATGGCCACAGTTATCAGAAACGGCCAAGATGCCACCATCCAGACTCTTTGCTGAGTGCTACTCTGGCCACGGGGCTATCAATTGGAATAGCTCTTGCCTGTTTTCTGACAGGTTAAACATCCTAGACACTACAAATCATCCCAACATGTTCTTGGTTTAACCTGTAACAGAGAAAGCTATAAACAAACAAACAAACAAAAATGGCCACAGTTATCAGAAACGGCCAAGATGCCACCATCCAGACTCTTTGCTGAGTGCTACTCTGGCCACGGGGCTATTTGCCTTATGAAAGGAGACTTTCCTGCTGGCTTGCCTGCTGATACAAAGTTTGGAAAGACAGGAGGGTCCAAGCCCACACCAGTGACCTCACCCTCCCATGACCGGGATGGGGGGAGTACACGCACAGAGGAATCCATCTGGAAGACATGTGTCAAATGAGTGGTTGTTTAAAATAAAGCAACATATTCTGATCTAATCAGGTATTGAAGCAGAAAATTTTTACCAGCTTTCTTGTGATTAGTCACTTTGTATATTAAAATGAGTCAGGAATGAGAGGAAGAATACCATTTTTGAATGCTGCAATCTTGTATTTTTTTTCCATTGACAAAGCACTGTCATTTGACGTAAGCCTCATTCAATCACTAATAGCATAATAATCCTGAGAGTTCTCAGAGATAAACATAAAAGAATTAAGAGTTCCTCCTGATGTGCTGCCTCACCATAAAATGGATTTACACAGAAACAAAAAAAAAGCAGCGCCTTTTCACTTGTTCTCTCCCTCTGACTCTTATTTCTCTTTAATACTCACATGTTTCTTTCCAGTAACAAGTGACTTTTGTAGCTGGACTAAAGCAGAACTGAAGTAGGCAGCAATGGATAGGAATTACAGATAAACTCAGAAGCACAAGGATTTAAAAAACAGTTCCATAGTAAAGGACCAGGTCAGGAGATAACAGTGATTACCAGATAGCTGTTGAAGGTAGTAGCAGAGAGAAATAAAAGATGAGATGTTGACACAGCTGACCTCCAGCATCCAAGACTATTTCATTCTTTGTCCACACAGTAGCGGCGAAGGATGATGAAGGCCACCCTCCTGCTGTGCTTGCTGGTGGCCATGCTTCACCTCACTGTCCACAGCCTGACCCAGACTGACCACCACAATGACAAGCCCAAGGCAACTGACCCCCAGGAGCAGCATCTCCGTGAGGGAGATTCTCTTGAGTCCTGCCAACAGATAGTCCCCAGCAACACAGACTTTGCCTTCCGGTTTTACAGGCAAGCAACCACCCAAGAACCTGGCAAGAACATCTTCTTTTCCCCAGTCAGCATTTCCACTGCCTTTGCCCTGCTGGCCCTGGGCTCCAGAGCCACCAGCCAGACTCAGGTGCTGGAAGGGCTGGCCTTTAACCTCACCGACACCCGGGAGGAGGAGATACATGATGGCTTTCGTCATCTCCTCCTCTTGCTGACCCGCCCTGGCAGCCAGGTGCAACTGAGCATGGGGAACACCTTGTTCATAGACAAACACCTGAAGCCACTGAAAACATTTCTGAAGGACATCAAAAAACTGTACAAAGGAAAAGTTGTTTCTAGTAACTTCCAGAATTCCACTGAAGCTAAAAAAGAGATCAATGATCATATAAAAAACAAAACCCATGGGAATATAAACCAAATACTTAAAGACCTCAATCCAAACACTCTAATGGTAATCGTTAACTACATTTATTTCAAAGGTAAGTTACATAGGTGTTACTTACTGCAGTACCTCAGTTTCACCTGCACTAAAACAAATACCCCAGATTATTTCTGAATTATTTTTAAAAGAAGGGCCAGTGTTTATATTAGGCTATTATGATAAGGAACATTGAAAGTTCTCACACTTTGAAACCTCTTTCACATCTAAATTTTTCTAGCATATGTTTAGGCTCCTAAGCATAAAAGTTCATTTATTTGCAATCTTCAAGTTTTAGGGAACTGCCAGAGCACAACAGGTTGATGCATTTGTAAATTTTTCTTTTTGTTAGACTTCATATATTTATTATTTTAAAATTACAATGTTTTCACATGCTGTATGAAGTAGAAAAATAAATTCCAAAGATGCAGATTAACAAAAATTGCCAAACACTTTAATTTACTTACAGGACATGCCTATTAAATGGGTAGGTACCTCTGGAGTTGGAGTCTAAATGTTCTACAGCTTGTCATCACATTATACATATCCCAAGAGGCACTTGCAAAAGCACTGCTTTGGCAATGATTAACTTCCTCGTGATGTTATATCCATTTGCAGCAGCATGCAGGACATACATGGAATTTACCACCCAGAAAGGCATGTTTGGAAATAGACGAACTTTCAGCAAAACAGATTTTATTTCAAGTACTTTATTAAATTTGGGTACCCTAGTCTCAGGTACCCTAGTCTGAGGCATTTCTTTATGTACCAGCGTATATTTTTTTTTACTGGGGGGGCAGGGAGGAAGGCTCAAACTTATAAAGTAATCAGAGTACAGTGGAGTTTACATTCCATTATTTATTCTTCAATTTTATTTTATTTCTATTCAATATTAAAAAAAGAGAACATACTTACAGATTGGCAAGCTGTGATCCCTGTGTATTTGTTCAGTGAATGACCTGATTTAATACAAAATAAAAGTTGAATAAACATCAAGAGAAAACAATTTTGAAGATCAAAGCCCTTGAAGCCCTATTCCATTTACAGTAATGCAGTTATGATCAGGCCCAAAAGTTCGGGTTGTTCTTGCATGTAAGCTTTTCCTTAGTGCTACTAGATGAAGAACATATGAAAAAGCACGGAAGGTGCTTAACATGCTACCTTTTGAAAGGCAGACATCTGCTGTGGAAATTGCTTTACAAGCAATATTCTGAAACCAGAAAGTAACCTATTGGATCCTGGTCAGCTTTCATTTTCTTCAAATAAAATATAAGGTAATATGATTAAGTTACTTCATTTAATTTATCTGACTTAGAAAGGTGTTGTACAAGTCCATATGAAATTTAACCTGGGATATTTAGTTGTTACTGAACGCGGTACAGCAAAGATGACAGGGAACAAGATCTTTAATAAACTTGGAATACGTTTGATCTTCAAGCACCAGTGTAAATCTTCAGATATGGGTTTATCTGGTGTACATTAGTCTGGACTATATTAATATATCTTCCTTGAAATAAATGTTCAGCTGCATTCTTTCTCTTTTCGTTTTAAGCCTACTGGGAAAATCCTTTCAATATTAAGGGGACCCACAAGGATTATTTCCATGTGAATGCAAAGACTTCAGTTGAAGTGAAGATGATGACTCGAGATGGATTTTATAAAACATACTCTGACAGGAAGCTGTCTTGCGAAGTGGTGCAGATACCTTACAAGGGAGATGCTGCAGCATTGTTTATCCTGCCCAGTGAAGGAAAAATGAAACAGTTGGAAGATGCCCTGACAAAAGACACTGTGTCTAAATGGGAAAAATCACTTGAAAGACGGTAAATATAGAATTCTGATTTGATGATTCAAGGTAACCAGAATCCAAAGTCTAAATACTATGATCAGGTTTTACAGTTACTAGCCTTTGCTGTTGATTGGAGATTTAAGCAATGAAATAGGTATAAAGGGACAGACCAAATGATTTGATAATTTGATAGTTTCAGAAAAAATTAGAATCAGCGTTGCCTTGTGATGAGGGAAGAGATCTGTGAGCTGGAAAATTTAATTTTTTTCCCCACACATTTTCTAGTTCGTGTTAAGTGTCTTCATTTCGCTTGTCTCAAGCACAATGTTAAGAGTGGTAATACTGCGACATAGCAATCAGATCCCTCAGAGGGAATGGGAGTGAATTCCAAAAGAAAAACCTTCAAGGCTAGAAAAAGAATGCAAACTTAGTCCCAAAAATGCTGCACCACCGCTGCTTGCTCTCCCATCAAGTGACCGTGTTGCAGAATCATACAAGAAAGTCCAACTGATGTTGTTCTCCTTTCCCATGTCCCAGACCATCGTCTTTCCATCCTCTTTTTGTTGCCATCTTTTTCAAATGAAAAGACTAACATTTTAGCACAGAAGAACCACCAGCAAGTTGGGAGTCTTCAGTCCAAGGCATGCTTTGGTTGCAATAACTACCATAATTTCCTTTTGAATTAACAGGAGGATAGAAGTGTATATTCCAAAACCATCGATTTCAGGCTCCTATGACTTAAAGAAGATGTTCATGAATCTGGGTGTAACTGATGTGTTTTCTGACCAGGCTGATCTGTCTGGAATCACAGGAAAGCCTGATGTGAAGGTTTCAAAAGTAAGTTTGTCAGCAGAAACAATGGTCTGTGGATTCCTCAATACCCAATTGTCTTGCCCTAAGCTAAGTTGTGAAATTTTACTTATTGTTAGGGCTGGCTGATACTGTGAACTAGAACATTTAGATGATAAAGTAACTTTAAACTCTCTCAGACTTCTCCAAGATCTGGAGATAAGGGTACTGTCTTCCGTCTGACAGGCAAAGGTTGGGAGGGGTGTAGCATTTGTCCCAGAAACTAAACACAGCCCAATTTCTGCATGTGAGAGAAGTGCCCAAGGATATCTGTGTTGGGGATGCCTTGCATCAGCATATCTAGCAGAAGAAGTAGCCTTTTTCTAACACGTACATTCTATAATTTTAAAAGATTTTAAAACTTCTGCTGCTATTGAAGGACCTGATGAGTGCTAATCATGTAAGATGGACCAGACTTGAGGAAAACATCCCATTTCCTGAAAGTAATGTGAAGAGAAACAGATAAAGTGAAGAGGAAGGCTAGCATTCTTACAGCCATTCTGAAAGCAGCAATTACAATGTTCTAACATTTTGGGGCTAGTAAAACAAAAAGATTAAAAATGCTGAACAACAATTTAAAAAAAAATTGGTATCAAGTTTGAATTTCTACTGGCTAAACTGTAATGTACATGCTATTAGGGATACATACAGAGCAGTTCTGGAGCCAACTTCCTTTCCCTCCGAAATTGTCATTCCTTGTGAATTTGCTTGAATATTCTTCTTTCAAATAATTCCACAAGCTGTGCAGTCCCTAAGGTCTGTGTTGGGTACACTTGTGTTGAGGAACTCCGAATGTGAGAATACTTGCTTATGGAGACAACATTGTTAAAAAAAACACCACGGGCTATAATGGCCTTCTTCCTGGTTCCTGGCCTACCAACAATTTTTGTGAAAGGCAGTAGCTGAATTAACTTAGTGTTAATTTTAATCATTTCACACCCTGTCCTCCACATACATTAATTCTTGCTGTATTTCATTGTAGGCTGCTCACAAGGCCCTGCTAAAGATTCACGAGAACGGCACAGAGGCTGCGGCAGTCACTGGCACAGATTTTCTTCCTCATTCTGTTCCTCCTGTTGTTAAATTCAACCACCCATTTTTGCTGTTGATTGTTGATCAATATACTCAGAGCATCCTCTTCATGGGAAAAATTGTAAACCCAACTGAAAAATGACTGGTCAGTGGCTGGTCTTATTGATCTGAATTGCATTCTTCATGCAATTATAGTTCAATGTGATTAAAATTATATCTAACCAGTTACTAACAATTTTCTTTTTCCAAAGAAATGAGGCATGAGTGTGGTCATTCTTAAAACACTCTTCTTGCTTCCTCCTCCAGTAGAAAGTAACCACCGAGATACACCTATTCATGAACTATGAAAAAATTTATAAACCAGCCTTTTAATGACCAGTGTATGCCATCTTTGAAAAACAAGGTAAGTATCCAGCTGAGAGAATCAGTTTAAAATATTTTAAGTAAATAAAGATTGAAAAAAGTGGCCACTCCTGACTTGTGGGTAGGAAGGAAAGAAAATGCTGAGGTTTGTTCCAGCTGCTGCCAGCTCTCACCAGGTCCTGGTGCTGGGGGGCTGACATGTGGAAATTTAAAGTACAAATGCAGTTCACTCAGGGAGATCTTAGTTCTTCTTTTCCACATGGATGTCATTGATGGAGAAAGGTCATGTTTTATTTCCATGAGAAAATTATTGCTCGCCTTTCTGAGGACGTCTGTGCCAATTTGACATCTCTCTCCTAATGCAGCCTTATGGATCCAAGGCAGTGTCAAAACCCAGAGCCAAGGCTTGGCACTTGTGAGGATCTGGAGCACCAAGAAAAGGAATGCGTGCCAACAGAAACACAGCGAGTCTGGTGTGGTGTCAGCCTGACTGCCTCCCTGTTCCATCCTGTGGGATCAACAGCAGATGTTTAACAGTGATAAATGTATTTAACACTGCTCAGGGGTACAGCAGCATAGACTTAGATTAAAAAAACCTAGACCCTTCTCAGTGTGTTGAACCTCATTCAATTTCTTTAAATATACTAGGTTAGGTGATCAGGAGTTTAATTTTTTAAGTCAGAAGTTTGAGTCTATAGGGTCATGAGATCAATTTGATAGTAGAGCAATTAGTACCTGAGAAGGAGCTACTCTGTAGAGTCCAGCCTCTCTAAGGCAACTATTACCCGCCCACACCAGTCTGTACAGTTAGAACATTTGCCTTGTGTACAGGATATTCAGGAATATTCATGTTCAGACCCCTCCCTTTCCTGAAGGCAGACAATCCCGTACCTCCAAGAGCCTAAACTCCAGGCTGGTCAGGCTGACCCCTGCGAAAGAAGTCATAGCATTGGACCTGGAGTGCTGGTAAGGATATTTGCCTGGAAGATGGAAATCCAGGTCTGCCCTTCCCTGGATGGAGAATGGGTTTGGCAGATAAATCCTAATGAATTCTCTGCAAACCACATTGTTGAGTGGGTGGTGTCTGAAGCAATCATATCTTGTGACATTGGTAGGGCTCCTAGGAAAAGGAAGGCATAGCTTCAAATCACATGCTGGGGGAGTCAGTCACTTTCAGACCAGGCCTAGGTACTTCCTTTGAAGGTCAAGTCTTTTGCCATACTCTCCTTTATGACACTCACAGCCTGATGGCATCCACCCGCATTGTGTTGGCTTCTCTGAGTCCCCCTTTAAGCTAACAAACTCTCCACAAGCATCCTATGTGGAAGCAATGCCTAAATCAAAGCTGGGGAATATTTTAGTTGGCCAGACACCCAGAAGGTGCTACTGGCATTGCTTTATAGATTTAATCTCGTGTTTCATCAACAAATAGAAGTTCAGAAGGGATAGGGTATGAATACCTGGAAGGGGTAAAACAAACATTGAGATTAATTATATCCCCATGGTTTACATCTATGCTAGTAAATAAAGTGCTCCAAGGTCTGTTCTCTAGCCGTGAGGTCAACTGGCTCGTCACAGCTCATATCCATGTTGCTTAACTCTGGTTGCATATTGGAAATATCCCCTGGCCTGTGCTAACTCTAAAAACATGCTTAGCACTTGTTTGGAAGAATTGTAGCTGGCATGAGCAATACCTGTGTCTGAAACTGTACTAAAAATGTAAGAATATGAGTGACTGCAGGCTGATGGTCAGGCCTGTGCCCCAGCACTGCTCAGTGTACTAGTACAAATGGAACCAGAGTGACCAACTGAGGGGTGGGAAACTGTCCCTCTGTCATTCAGCCCTATAAGCTCCTCCTCTGCTGGCGATCTGCCTTTTTTGAAGGACACTAAGTTCCAGGTCATGCTGATAGGCCTTCACCAGCTACTTCCCAAAAATGAGGGAACTGGAGACCCTTTGCCCTTCTGTGGAATAAGATTAGGCAGTTCAAGAAACACCCTTCAAAACTACCACAAGTCTCAAACTGTGAGACTCCCATGTACTTCCCATAGATGTGTTTTGGTGGTTTCTTCTGATCAGTCCTGTGCATTTGCTGTCACAGTAACTGTGCATGCTAATTTTCAAAAGCATAATCTTTAATTTTAAAGCAAATCTTTAATGCTCCTCATTAAAGATTTGTGCTGGTCCTCAGATGATACAGCAATGTTTTGATGATGCAGATACTTGAAACACTTCACAACTGAGCACATAGAATCTATCATGAAGCTTAAAATATGCAAGTTTAATTCTATTACATTGTAATATAAATGAACTTAAATACAGTTTAAAATGTGATACAACTTACTGTGGAGGCATAGCCACTGTCCATCTTCCATATCCTGCCCCCCTCCTTACGAATATTGAAACAAGAGTTTTGTTATGAACCAGAAAGTCTGTCACTGGTTCAGGGACCTGACAGTTTTTTGACAGTTGTGCAAGCTGCTTGCTAGGTGCTGCCCTGACTCTGCAAACTGGAATGAGCTGGCAGAAAAAGGCCATTGGAGACTCTCCCTTGGCAGCTGGATCCCCCATTGAGAAAGGCTCAGCACCCAAGGCCAATGTCATGCAGCTCTCCTTCCAACGACTGCGCAGAGGCAGGCAGAGATGGAGGTGTTGAAGTGCACAGCTCCCCGCTCCTCAAATCTGACAGTGATGTTAAATAAAGCAGACCATGACTTCAGTAACACCACTGCCAAACTAGTGCTGAATCAGAGAGATGTAACCAGATCCCCTGTGATCAATTCATTCTCATAGACAGTGCCAGACCAAAGGGAAACTCGTATTTTTTGATTGCTAAAAATTTTTGGAAATGGTTTTACTGACAGATCAGAAAGACAAATGTTGCAATAACCCGATAAAGTAATAACTATAGAAGTTCTCAAAGGGCCAGATGGATTAATTTAGGAGTTGTTTCTGGCATGGTACCCAGATATGAAATCTATTTACAATTAGATCAAGAAACCTTGAATTGGCTTTACTTTTTCTTTACCCATGACTGCATGCAATGCTCCTTTGCTGCACTTGAGCCTGTTGTCCCTGGCTGTCAACATTCCAGCGGCCACAAGCAGAGTAACAAAACTAAGCGCTGCAGAGGCAGCATCCCCACGAGGGAGATCCTTTTGGGACAGTCCCCAGCAACACAGACTTTGCCTTCCAGTTTTACAGGCAAGTGACTGCCCAAGAAACTGGCAAGAGCATTTTCTTCTCCCTGGTCGGCAACTCTGCTGCCTTTGCCCTGCTGGTCCTGGGCTCCAGAGCCACCAGCCAGACTCAGGTGCTGGAAGGGCTGGCCTTTAACCTCCTCACACTCGGGAGGACCCACCACTTTCCTTTACTGTCATTTATTTTAATTCTGGGAGTTATACATGTCATCTCTAAGTTCTTGATTAAGGTTTTTGGTCTGTAGTCTTAACTACTTGAGTTTGATGTATCTTTTGAAAAAAGAAATTCAAGCTACTATTCAATTTGAGAGCAAAATTTTGGTCTTGCAGCCTACTATTACTTATTTTCTCCCCTTTTTTATTCTAGTGATTTTTAAAAATCTTATAACAACTAATTTTGAAAAGCCTTGACAGTGTCAAGCAGGTCTACAATTCCAATGTCTTCATCTGGGAACTTTATGGAAAATATATCAGTAAAACCTGAGATGAGCTGTCAGTGAGGGATTACCTATCTTGAATGTTAAAATGCTGGCTGATTGACTCCGATGGAAGACATATCAGGCTTTAAATACTTGCATGCTCTTGGAAATGCATTTTCTTTCAGTGTTAGAAGATTAGGTACAGACAAAGCAGAAAACTTAAATTATTGTTTTCTGCAAACTGATGAAAGTGATCATCTGAGGTGAAACGTCTGTTATGAGAAATGGAATCACACCCTGGTAATAAAAGAATAATAAGATTACTTGATTCTCTTCATACAGCCTTCATCTAGCAAACTATGAGTTCATATGAAATTTTAGTTCCGAGATTCCTATTGCATTGGTGAAAGAAGCTGAAAACAAAGAAGAGTCTGGTTTCTATTCCCAGTTCTGTCACAGACTTTTTGCTTAGCCTTCAGCTTTTTTCTTTCTGTCAGTCATGCTGGTTTTTGAAATGGAGCCAGAAGAACTTTCCTTATCCGAGGAGAAAAGGATGAATATTTGTAAGACATGGAGATCATAGTTGGGATGCCCTTTACAGAAACAGATAAAAATACAGAGAGGACTTGATTTTTATTCTAGTTACAGCAATTTTGCAATGATCCCAATCTCCTGATTTTAATGGAGTTATTTATGTCAAGAAGTTTATTTATATGAACTTTTGCAGACAGACCTTGAGTGATACATAAGGCAACACGAAATGGCTGCATGAGGATTTATCATGCAAAGTGCACATTTCTCTTGCTCAATCCTTATCATCTTCCCACAGCCAGAAATCCTTTGCCCTGGAAAAGCCAGAAATATAACTTGCAAAGCTGGCATATAATAATGTGACGACCAAGTAGCAACAGGAGTAAGTTAATGGTATGGGATGAAACTCCTCCTGTAAGGAGGAACCAAGACATATTGCATAACTGAGCAGAGTCATTGGCCCCACAGTAGGGAATGAGATAATTAAATTATTCCTTAATTCCTTCCATATAGACCATTGTCAGGCCAATGGGAAAAGCACGTCTATTAGTCCTCTACATGACTTCCCTGGCTCCTGGAGCAGGAGTGCCTCTGTCCCAGCCACTGTTCATCTAGAAACATCCAGGAGCTCTGTACCTTCCTCTGTGAAATTCCGCTGGACGGATATCCTTCCTGCAAAACTCTGCACAAACTTTCCAGTTTAGCCTCACATTTCACATCTGTTGGGGGACAGAGCAATTTGCACCAACAGAAATGTGCAGAGAAGTAACAAACTGCTTTCCCCTCCTCTCTCACAGACGCTGCCATCTGGCAGGTATCCCGGTGATACCCATGTGTTGTGATTCACCCTCATTTTCCTTTGCATTCAACAGGGGAGACTCATGTTTTCCAAGAGTCTCTATTCTGGCACCTATGACCTAAGGGAGATTTTCAAAGGACTAGGTGTGACTGATGCATTCATTAACCATGCTGAGCTATCTGGAATTGCTGAGAAGCTGATTGCTTTGAAGTTTGCAGGCAAAAATGGTCATTTGTGGGTCTGATGTAACTGCTGGTCTCAACCTTGCCTAGGAAGAGACTTGGGCTAGGGTCAGAGGAGCTGGTGCCTGGAGTGGTGAGCAGGGACAGCAGCAACTTTCTACTCTCTCCCTGTGCCATGGCTTAACCCCAGTCGGCAACTAAGCACCACACAGCCGCTCGCTCACCCTCCCCCCACCCCCGGAAGGGCAGAAGTAAGAAAATTCGCAGAAGTAAGAAAATTTGAGATAAGAACAGTTTAATACTTGAAATAAAATAATAATAATAACAACAACAGTAACAACAACAATAATAATAAATTGTAATGAAGAGGAAAACAATGAGAGAGAGAGAGAGAAGAACAATGGTGGCAAACTTTTTAGCAGGGCCTGTTGCGACAGGACAAGGGGGAATGGTTTTAAACTAATGTTGTGGTTTAACCTGGCAGGCAGCCAAACACCACACAGCCACTCGCTCACTCCCCCCAGCCCCCGCAGTGGGATGGGGAAGAGAATCCAAAAAAGAAAGTAAAATTCATGGATTGAAATAAAGACAGTTTAATAGAACAGAAAAAGAAGGGATAATAATAATAATAATGGTAGAATATACAAAGTGAGTGATGCATAATGCAATTGCTCACCACCTGCCAACCGATACCCAAGCAGCCATCGCTACTTCCAGGTCCATGCCTCCTATTTATATACTGAGCATGACATCATATGGTATGGAATACCCCGTTGGCCAGCTGGGTTAGCTGTCCTGGCTATGCTCCCTCCCAGCTTCTTGTGCACCTGGCAGAGCATGGGAAGCTGAAA